TAAACATTCAGAACATTTACAACTTTTCAAAGTTTTACTTTGGAATGGTTTAACTCAAAAGCTTCTGGTTTTTTTCTTGTGTCCCTGGAAATAGCTATGTATGCTGGGATCTTGGTGGAAATGTTTTTGCTAGACTTTACTGAAAGAAAAAGGCGTGTCCTGATTTTACTAAATAATGTAATGCAAGAGTTAAACAGACTAATGCATTGATGGATTAGGTAACTGAAACTTTTAACAGGGGAGGATGGAGTTGTGTTTGATTTGCTTGATAAGGTGGCAGTCAAGCATTTGTTGGGCTTCTGGCATTAGGTCTTTCTTGCAGAACCTCGGCTGTGAATCATGTTATCATTTTTATTCTAATTCTTCCACATTCAGCATTTATGGGGAAGAGGACCCTTACAGGGAGTTCTCCATTTTCCAGTTTCTATGTTTTATTAATTTTTGTAAAACCCTATCCCGCACATGTTTAAACTATTTGCTGTGTTCCGTGAAGCAAAAATTGTTTAGTCTTTGTTAAAATAATTTTGTTTTGAAGCCATTTGATGACCACTGTTTTAATTTATTCTTAACATTCTTAGTCAATGGCAGTTTGTGTGAGGATTAATTTGATACAGTTCTACACATGTAAGGGATGACAGGCACATCCTTTTCTATTATGATTTACTGCTATGCCCTGGAGAAGTCTTTGGGAACTGATTGGTAAGAAGTTTTCAAAATAGTTAAGACAGGCTAGCACCATGGAGAGCCAATTCCTTTCTGAGTCTACTCACAAAATTGGAACCTATGGTGTCTTGCAATGTTTCAAAATACCGAATTAGTGGGGTGGATGGCCCACCCACAGATTCCGGTCCAGATTGGGGATTCGGCAAAATCCAAAAAAAAAGAAAAAAGGAAAAAAGAAAAATGAAGAAAGGGGTTTTAGGGTTAAAAAAAACTTTTAGAAAGCATGTATAGGTATGAGAAAAGAAATAAAATAAAAAATAAGAAAAGGGGGAGCCTTTGAGAGAGCCTAAGGGGGTGGGGATTAGTCTGGTTCCTATACTTCTGGAACTGGACTGGCCCTGAACGATTCCTGGGTTTGGATGAGGATTCCTGGTCATCAAGTCACCACATGCACAGCCGAGAAATAAGAGAGATTGATTGAAGGATTTCTCTGGATTTTTTTTATAGAGGTGACAACAAAAGGCACAAGTACCACTTGGTCAAATGGGAGGATATCTGCAAGCCTTAAATATGAAGGTGAAAGCCTTTGAGGCAAATTATAATTGTAGTTAGATACAATAGTGAGAGGAATAGATAGGGTGTTAATGAGCATGAATGGATGTTGGGGCTTGAAGGAGTTGTTCCATTGGAGCAGGATTTGAGGTACTAGGTTCTGCTTTAAGGATGGTAGTGGACTTGGTCTTCTGGCAGAGATTTGATGAATGGAAGAAGTTTGGAACACTCACTTTCTGTTCCATGCCATTTTTTTATTAGATCCTTCTTGAAAGTGATCTTGGGGAAGGGGAGAAGAGTTTCTTCAGATATTATGTTTGGAATGCTAATCAGCTCTCTAGGTGGCTGTCTTTAGTTGGGTTGCTACTCAACAAAACATTCTTACCATATACCATCTCCAGAGAATGGGATGCCAAATATTTGCCTGTGTCAGGATGCATAGCAAGGATGGCGGATTCCAAATGATGCAAAGAAATTTGTTTCCAGTCCTTTATATTGTCCTATATGTAGAGAGTTCAATACTTGTTGTTTAAGTTGTTTAAGGTCTCCTTACTCCTTAGTCGTGCATGACTATTGAGGGGTCATTAATCTCCACTTGGTTGGTTGCCTTAAAGAGGCTGCCTTGTTTGGATTTGTTTTCTGCGGTTATTTGGAGAGGCAAAGGAACAACAAGATCTTGAAGGCGATCTTGATGGATTGCTTGAACTTAGGAGAACTTGATTTTTGTTTTTCAATAGTTTACTTGAGAGAACTTATTAGCGAGTTCATGATCATTTAGGTCCTCAGGCGCCAAGAGTTCTTTGGTTTCAGAACACAGTAGTTTGAATAAACATGATGATGTGTGGTTCCACCAAGGACCTTGTGGAAGAGCCTTCTTGGGGTTTCTTAAGGCTTAAATAATAGCTCTCCTGGATGAATGACAAGCCATCCGGAGTAAAAGGCTTCATCAAAGATAACCTTGATACATGGTAGGACTCTCTTTATTTTTTGAGAGCTTCTTGATTATTGCAACGGGGACAGAGGCAGAAGCATGACCCCTTGTGATAGGGCTTCAAAAGTTTCTTTGATTTCTTCTCAAGGACCTTGATACTAGAAGTAGATTCATTTAATGTCATTGGATGTGCCTGGAAAAAACTGAAATATCACTGGAGGCTTGCTAATTTTGTATAAGGGAAAAAGGCATAAACTTATACTATAAAAGTAAGGGACGCCTCAAATTTGTTCTGACGCTTGAAAACCCTCCAATTGATTATCTCAACCTTGAGTTGTATGGTTAAAAAAAAAAAAAGGATTTCAAATCTTTAAAATAGTGCATCTTGGAACTTTTTTTTTGGACCATCCATTTTCAAGATTTTCAAGTGTTTATAAATCTGCTTGATGTGCACCATTTTTGGAGTTTATATTTCATAATGATGGCTGGGAATAGATTTTCAAGCCATTGTAGGGGTTCCCAGCAGAGGAACTGTATCTATCGGCGGGATTTGGAGGCGCGCCTTACTTTGATTTTTAGGTGACACCTTTTATAAACCACACCTAAAAGGGACATATTTCAACCTTGTAAAAAAATACAGAGAGTAAGGGGAGTCTGTTTGCCTATTCCCATAGGTGTAGGGAAGCCAATTGCAAAACATTTCTCACCCACGAGGGAGTTTCGAGGGAGTCCCTCCTAGGTTGGAAACTCCCAAATCTGACCTATATCTTATTTTCCTCTCTCCATTTTTTTTGGGGTTATGCTCCTTTATTTGTTGCTCAATTTGTGATTCCCAGTGAAATTTTGTAATCTATTTTAAAATCTCATAAGATGCTGTAAACCTCTGTATCTAAAATGCTAGGGAGAAGTTCATCAGTCTTAAGGGACTCAAGGTATTCTATATCTTTATGTTTCTGAAATTTTGATTGGAAGAGGTCCCATTTCTTATCTGAAATTCTGCAATTGTGGATCCAGCTTTCATGGACTTATTCTGTAACAGTTCTGGCATGAAGAGCAGCACCTATGCGCTCATATAAAATCTACTTGTTTCCAGGATTGAAATTGTAAGAGACAAAAAGTATGCCAAGGGCCTATATGACAGAAAACTAGAGAAGAGCATAGTGAGAATTGAAAAGGACCGCTATTTATGACAATTAACAATATGCATCATAGTTACCCAAATCTCTCACCTTAGGTCGGAACCCCAATTCGGCGATTCTGACTAGGAATCTTCATGGAACCCATTTCTGTGAACTTTAGAATCTCGATTCCTTATTTTAGAAATACCGATTCCAATACTTATAGAATCTCGCTTCCAGTATTTACTAATTCTCGATTCCGCAATTTGGTGAATCTCAATTCTACACTTGTTGAAACATTTACCGGAATTCTACCACTTCCCTCTTTTTGTTTTCTTTTTGCTTCTCTTATAAGTGATGTTTAGAAGTTTTCAACGCATCAAACTACTCGAACTAGACACTCAATCTCAAGCTACAAGGTGTAATCTTTTTTGGCATGAAATGACCAATAGAAACCGAAGTGATGGTCCACGCTCTCTACTTAATTCTTTAACTATGCATTGTATTGATTTAATGGAGAGATTGCAACTCCAAGATGTTAGAAATAATATAATACAAAAAATATAAACATGCATGTATGGCATGTTAGTCAATGAAGGTATTGAGACATGTATTGTTTCCCTCTCAGTTCCCTCTTGATTCCAAAGATGTCGGAATCGCAATTCCATAAATGAAGGAATCTCGATTCCATATTAGTCGATTCCAACTAGGTTGGAAACTCCATCCCAAAAAGCTAGGAATCTTGATTTCATCTCTATAGGGATCTCGAATTTGGTCAAATGTCGATTCCTAAGAATAGGAATCTTGTCCCCCATCATTTCTCTTGTACGGACGTCGATTCGAAAATAGGAATCATCCGCCGCAGCGATTCTGTGCTTCAGATTCCTAAGTCAATTCGGTTTTAGGTAACTATGGTATGCATCACCTTTGTCAGCTGTGGTTTTAAGATGGTTATGTAGTTTCACCATTTTGTTTCAAATTTCAATTGAAATTATGCATCATAAGAAGTGGACACTAGTGGAAGAGTGTTTCTGACGCTGTAGAGAAGATAGTTTTTTTCTTCCAATTAGAAAAGGAAAAAGTTTATGTAAGGTTGCAACCTTAAAATGTAGAATTATAGATGCACCTCAAAAATATATCGGAAAAAGTTATTTTAATGTTGAAAAACCCTCCAATTGATCACCTCCACATCGAGATGTTTGAATATAAAAAAAAATAAGATTTTGAGTCTTAGAAATAGTGCATCTTGCGACACATTATCTAGACTGTCCATTTTCAAGATTTTCATATGTTTATAGATCTACTTGATTCTAACCATTTTTTTAGTTTAAAATTTTATAATTAGATATGAAAATAGATTTTCAAATAATTCTAATAATGTTTTACACCAAAATTACATGTTATGATAAAATTTGGAGGTGCACCTTAATTGGATTGTTTAAGGTTGCAACCTTATAGAAACCACACCCATTAGAAAATTCTAATTGAGAATTATGATTGACTCACCTTTCGAAGAGAATATTATGACCTAAAATTCATGTGGAGCATTTCATATTTATTTGTCAATCAACATATGTGTCATCTGTTTTGGCTTTTAGGTATGTGGTCTACCATTTACTATATTTGATGTTATGAAGGATATTCCATATTATATTTGATGTTTCTATGATTCTTTATCATGCTGATAATTTTCTCTGTTTTCATATTTTATTATTCATTTTTTTAACTGTATGCAGGTGTTGGAAAAAGTTGCCTATTGTTGCGTTTCTCTGATGACTCTTTCACGACCAGTTTTATCACCACCATAGGGTGTGCTCCTCTCTCTCTCTCTCTCTCTCTCTCTCTCTCTCTCTTTCTCTCTCTCACGTCAGCAATGTTTGTAATATGATACTCTGCCCTAATGCACTGGTGGTGCCTTGCAGGATTGACTTTAAGATCAGAACCATTGAGCTTGATGGCAGGCGTATCAAACTGCAGATTTGGGACACAGCTGGTCAGGAACGCTTCCGGACAATCACTACAGGTTGTTGGTTAAGAAACTGCTGTGGTTCTTTGCTATTCCTCTTAGGTTATAGAATTGTTATATTTCTAGCCAGTTGAAACCTGATATTAATAGTAATCATTTGAAAAAAATATACTGGAATTCACGGGTGAGTGGATAATTTTTGGACCTTCTCTTTTGTTCAAACAATATAATGTGAAGCTTTCGACTGTTATTCCTGTTTTTCTAATGTTTATTAAACCGAACTACCTGCTAATTACTAAGCAGACCTTTTGCTTCACAGCTTATTACAGGGGAGCTATGGGTATTTTACTGGTGTATGACGTTACTGACGAGTCCTCTTTCAACAGTATCCACTGCCCCCTTCTGCTCTTGTTTTCAAGGATCCAAATTTGCGGATCCATGCCTTCATTATCTTTTGTTTCTCTCCATTAACTGGCGAAGTTTGCTATAACCCAATGCAATCTGGAAAAACCATAGTCCATTGAAATAGTGTGTTGGTGGAGAACCGGACTTACCAAGAGTGAATATAACTCCAATGGTTGGTCCACTTTATGACAGTGATGATCTAGTGGACTATAGTTTTTCTGGAGTCCTTTGGATTCATATGTATTCTCCCTTTGTACATTAGATATTTCAATTTGCCAACATTTGAATTTGCAGACATTAGGAACTGGATTCGAAACATAGAGCAGCATGCTTCTGACAATGTCAACAAGATATTAGTTGGTAACAAGGCTGATATGGATGAGAGCAAAAGGGTAATGTGCTTCATTTTACAGCTGGAGTTTCTCTTTTACTGTCCAACTAAAAAACAAGTAGAGAGCTTTTCGATTGTATTTATATCATTATAATTAGCCACAACATTTGCCTATATGGATTAAACTTGGTTTTGTAGCTCAGGCTGTACCTACATCTCGGGGCCAGGCACTCGCTGATGAATTTGGAATCAAATTTTTTGAGACTGTAAGTTCTATGGTTCAGCACATTTTGTACTCCTTATTTATCAGAGAGAACTGCATTCTGAACCCTTAAAAAGTTAGTTTAGCCAGTCTTTTTGGAATATTTCTCTTAAAAGAGAAGATTATGTTATGGTGCAGAGTGCAAAGACAAATCTAAACGTAGAGCAGGTTTTCTTTTCGATAGCTAGGGACATAAAGCAAAGACTTGCAGATACTGATGCTAGACCAGAGGTAGAATTTCCATTCAAGTAAATTGTTTCATGGGTTGCTCACCAAATCAAGTTTGCAGAATGATTACTTGTAATTGATATTTGGGGTCGTGTGAAAATGGGTCTGAAGGTTTTGTGTGTTTTTTTATTGAATGCAGCCAGCCATTAGGATCCCAGGAGGAGGGGAAGTACCGGTAACGAATGGTCAACCTCCAGCGAAGTCAGCTTGTTGCAATTCATGAGAGGACCTCATGTAGAGAGAGAAAAAGAGAGGAGAGAGGGAGAAATATTTGGTCGGGAGGTGATATTTCTTTTAGGAACTGTTAATTTACGAATTAGGGCTATCTGGTGATTTTGGTGGTTCTTTTGTATTTTTCTTCTGATCATTCTTTTGGACTCCGCTTTTCACTTTTTTGTGCAATGTTGTGGTGCCATAAAGCATATGACAAGCAGTGATTCTTCTTTTCCTTTTATTCAACACACATTGAAATTCCCCTCTTTACGTGTGTGATGTGTCATTGAAATGTGGTGTAGTGGTTAATGAATTAACCAATTGAATAGTCCTTTCTTTTGATTAAAGATGGATCGGTACCTGTGATATTGGCGCATATTTATGTTGTTGTTGTTAAAAGCAATTTTGTTAAAGTCTTTTTAGGTTTGGTGAGAAAAATAATGTAATTCGGTGTTTCAGTCGATTTGAGGGGAAGATTTTGGAATTTTTTTTTTTTAATTTAGTATAAATAAATTAGATATTTATATATACAAATATATACCGATAATGTTAAAAAATAAAAACTTAAAAAAATTGAAAAAAATTTAAAAAAAATTTAAAAAATACATTAATATAGTTATTTCTTTGCTTGTCGAAGCACACCTTAAGCAAATCCAAAGTGGTTTGAATTTGACCGAAGCGGTCCGAATCTGACCAAAAAGGCAGCATCAGGCTTTGCATCCCTACGATTTATATCTAAAATTTGAAGGCTTCGGCTTCTTCGATCGAAACGAAGCGAATTTGATAACATTGGCTAAAAGTAACATTTCTTGGTCAACAGTAAATGGCTTATGTTAGCATCCATTCTCACCCTAGTGGACCGAACATGTTACTGGCCAAAAGTGATCTAGATTGGTGAACTGGCCGTTTTATATCCCATTCACAGCCAAAAAATTGTGTAAAAAAAATAAAAATAAAAATAAAAATAAAAATAAAAAAGTACAGCCAGTGGCAACTGAGCTAGTCCCGGGGTTCTTTTTTTTTAACTAGGACTGGTACCTATCGGTTCAAGTTTGAATCTAGTGATCATGTATCAGCTTTGGTTTCAATTGGGTGATGTGACCAACTTCTTTAAAACAAAAAATTATTCACGTCATTAGGATGGCTGATGTTAATGGAAAAAGTTTATAGAAGGTTGACATCTTAAAATGTAGAATTAAGTTGAACCTAATGGAAAAAGTTTATAGAAGGTTAACACCTTAAAATGTATAATTAAGTTGAACCTGTAAAAATTTTCAAAAAAAGTTGTTTTGATGTTAGAAAAACATTCAATTGATCATCTCAACATAGAGATGTATAGAAATGGAGGGAAAAAGAGATTTCAAGTTCCGAAAATAGAGATGTATAGAAATGGAGAGAAAAAGAGATTTCAAGTTATGAAAATAGTACATTTAGCAACACATTATTGGACCATCTATTTCTTATATTTTTAGGCATTAATAAATATGCTTGAATTGAACCATTTTTAGAGTTTAAAAGTTTATAATTAGCCATAAAAGTATGTGCTCGTTACATCTTAAGAATTTTTTACATCAAAATTACATCTCATGACAAAGTTCGAAGGTTAACCTTTGCCACACCCCAAGAATTTACAAAACTGTTATTTCTTAGATGTGACAGACAAAACATATATACATCTATTGATAGGACAAATTTACAGTGGCAAGGTCTTACAAAGTAACAAAAGAAAGGTAGCACAACAACAATATCTTCCAAGGTTGATCTTGACTAGCACTCAAAATGAACCCGCAGTTATCCTGAAAAAAATGTTTACCATAGTTTGATGAGTTTGGCTACTCAGTAAGTGATCATCATAATCCTAAAAATAATCATGATTGAAAGATATCAATATTTTCCAAAATGAGATCTATTAACAGAAATGCATCAGCAGTTTCACTTTCAATAAATGCATAACTAAGTATAATCCGAGTAATTGAAATGCTTATAACACTTGCAACGGCAGTGCATAATTCAAACGATTTCACAAAATACCCTACTGACGTCCCGAGTAGGTCACCTATATACCCCATCAGTGTCCTGATGGGTCCACTTAATCCCTATCGGCGTCCCAGATAGGTCCACTTAATCCCTGCAGGTCCACTTATACCTCACCGGCGTACCGGATGAGTCCACTTAATCCCTACCGGCGTCCCAAATAGGTCCACTTATACCTCACCGGCGAACCGGATGAGTCCACTTGCATACTTAAATTATTTCTAAATCTCTTTAAACATTCGAAAGCAGCAATATCATGTACTCAATATATCACTGAAATCATTAATATGAATTTCACTTAAACCATTAATAACAGTCACTCTCTATAACATTTCAAAAATAACCAATCAAATATTTTGGGCTCAAATTTAGAAAGGTAGCAATTTGTAAAGGCATTCTAGCATAATTGCTAATTTAATATGTATAGAAAAACTCTTATAGAAATTCAAGAATACGGAATTATCACAATTTATGGGATATCAATCCACAAATAAACATTTCACAACAATACTATAATCAATTACAAAAATGTCAATTTTTAAATAATAAGGCAGTCATTTGCACATGAATTTTACAATGTCTAAATATTCAAAACAGTAGAAAGAAATATCATAATTTTACTAAAAGCAGAAATATCATATTTATTTCTAACAATAGATAAGAAAAATAAATAAATTTATTTTTCTAATTTACAGCATTCAAAATTTCTAACATAGATAAAATATCACAATTTTTATTAAAAATATTATTTTTCAAGATAATGAGGTCACGTGCGCATAAAATTTATCGCGCCTAAAATTCATGATAATAAGAAGAAATAATTATTTCATTTTATTTTTAAAAAGAATGGATTATTTTTTTAGACAATGAGGTCACTTACACACAAAACTTATAAAATAAAGATCCTAGACGGAAATATCACTATTTATTAAAAACAGACTATTTTTCAGGAAGACGATGTAACTTACCTAAAATATTTGAGAAGGAGCTTCCGATAAGAATTCGGCTAGAGAGAGAGTGAAAACCTAATCAAATCCATTGCAGTTTTCCTGAACTTCTGTGATGAAGATACAGGAAAGAGCTTCACACCCCATCTCAACAAAGCTCTTATTGATTCCACCGCCTTTTTCTCACCCACACAACAACAATGGAGAAATGGGTTGAAAGAAATTCCCGATCTTTCTAGTTGGGACATGAAGAACTACAGGAATGAAGAGCTAGTGATTAGGGAACTTGTTAGGCATGTTTCAGTCAAATTGGAGTCTATTGCATGTTGCTGCTCACCTTGTTGGGCTCTATTCTCAGATTGATGCACTAAATGTTTAGAGAGAGAGAAGGACGAATAAAAAGAAAACACCTTAATATAAGGTGTTGATTAAAGGAGTGTTGTTGTAAAACTTTAAGGTGGTGGACCTAAAGTCCACTCAAGTAAAATTGAACCCTCAAATATATTAACAATAATATCTTTTATTTATTGTTAATATAAAAGCAACAATATCCTAACGGTATATTAGTATTATTATTATTATTATCATTACTAATATATACTTATTATTTTTTTTATTTTATTTTATTTTTATTTTTTTTTCTGTTAACAACATTAATATTATTAATATTATTATATATATATATATTTTTGAAAGTTTAGGATTGTTACATTCTTCCCCCCTTAAAGAAATTTAGTCCTCTAAATTTGTGTACCTGATTACTGAAAAAGATAGGGGTATTTTTCTCTGATTTCGTCTTCTCGTTCCCAAGTCGACTCTTCTCTTGAATGGTACTGCCATAATACACGGACCAAAGGAATCTCCTTGTTACGCAACACTTGCACCCTTCTATCCAATATCAAAATTGGCTGCTCAATGAAGGATTGGTCCTTCCTGATCGGTAAAGGTTCATATTTTAAAATATGGGATGGGTCGGGCTGATATTTTCGTAGTGAAGATACATGAAAGACATGATGGATGTTTGCCAATTCGGGTGGTAAGGCAAGTCTATAAGCGACACCTCCGATTCTTTCCAGGATTTCAAGTGGTCCGATGTAACGTAGGCTCAACTTTCCTTTCTTGCCGAATCTCATAATGCCCTTTATTGGTGAGATTTTTAGGAAAACTCGATCACCTTCCTCAAATTCAAGATCTCTCCTTCGGTTATCGGCATAACTCTTTTGCCGACACTGAGCTGTCCTGAGCCTTTCACGAATTAATGTTATTTTATCTGTGGTTATCTGGACAATTTCTGGCCCCAAAAGCTTTCTTTCACCAACCTCGATATGGGTGACCTGCATTTCCTTCCATACAGGGCTTCATATGGTGCCATCTGAATACTGGCTTGGAAGCTATTATTATAAGCAAACTCAATCAGGGGTAAATGGTCATCCCAGCTTCCTGTAAGGTCAATAACACAGGCCCTCAGCATATCTTCCAAGGTTTGGATGGTCCTCTCCGATTGTCCATCAGTTTGGGGGTGAAAGGCAGTAATAAAGGTGAGTCTCATCCCCATGGCTGACTGTAGTCTAGCCCAAAATTTAGAAGTAAACCGAGTATCCCTGTCCGATACAATACCGACAGGAACTCCATGCAACAGCACTATTTCCTTAATGTACAACTGAGCCAGTCGATCCAAAGTGTACGTCGTGCGAATCGGTAGAAAGTGAGCAGCTTTGGTCAATCGGTCCACAATGACCCAAATGCTATCATGTCCTGAATTTGTTCTAGGCAAGCCAAAGACAAAATCCATAGAGATGTGCTCCCACTTCCATTCTGACACGGGTAAAGGCTGCAACAACCCAGCGGGCCTTTGATGTTCAGCTTTTACTTGCTGGCATGTTAGAGATTTAGACACAAATAGTGCTACCTCTTTTTTCATATTATTCCACCAAAAGGTTTTCTTCAGGTCCTGATACATTTTAATACTTCCGGGATGTATCGTATAACGAGAATGATGTGCTACTTGTAAGATAGCTTTCTTTACACTCTCATCATTCGGGACACAAATCCGACTTTTGAATCTTAGCAAATCCTCACTACATATAGAGAATTCATCTCTCTTTCCTTGCTTCACCTCTTCTATAATTGTTATAAGCTGAGGGTCTTTCTTTTGTGCCAATCGAATCTGTTGGATTAATTAGGGTTCCGCCTTAATGTTGGCAATCATACTTACCACACCATTAATGGACGGAGTTGGATGCCAATTCACTATTTCCTCTAACAATCGCATTTCTTGGATCATTAGATGAGCTAAGACTCCCGTAGATTTTCTCCTTAGAGCGTCGGCCACAACGTTAGCTTTTCCTGAATGATAATGAATTGTACAATCATAATCTTTTAA